GGAAACGCAGTCAGAGAGGAAGGGAATGCAGCTGAGACTGGAAACGCAGTCAGAGAGGAAGGGAATGCAGCTGAGACTGGAAACGCAGTCAGAGAAGAAGGGAATGCAGCTGACCGGCATAATGAGGAAAAGTGATGAAAGGACGACCGTGTCCCGGAGGAGGCGACCCTGCGGAAAACTTCACACTCGGGAGACTCTTGGGGATGTTTCGTGACTTGGAAGATACAAATGATAAAATGTTGGAAGTGAATCCAGACTTAGAACGGAGTCAGACAATTTGCAACAACGCATAGAAAGATGCTTGCTCTGTATCATGTTGTACAAGAAAAAGGCGCTCTGTTTTACAAAGAAGTAAAACACTTGATTCTCAGTGTTTTTGATGCTTTAAATTGTAGTCTACTAAATAAATGTTTTACTATTTTTTCATTTTCTTATGCATTTAACAGTAAGATTTTTTAATTGACAAAATTTTAAAAATTTATTCATCATCATGAGTTTTATGTTTGGAGGAGAGCAGAAAAAGATTAGTTGAAATGCAGAGATGTGAGTGTAATTTTATGATCTAGTGGAAATTATAAAATAGATTAGGTCCTTGATTCTTTTTCATCACAATGTTGTTAGCTCTGAAAGGGGTCATTGTGTTCCTGCAGGTCTGTTCCTTTAAACAGAGCAACCACATTTCTTCTGCTTTCACCTCCTTTCTAACATCACCAAAAAAAAGAGAAAGCTGCTACTTTGTACACTCAAGTCATCTAAAAAAAGTATATAAGGCAGTCCTCACTACGCACAGTCAGGCAGGACCATGAAATGAAGTTAGTGGGGAGGGCACATGGAGCTTCCATGCCGGCTCCAGGCGTGCCACCCTCCCAGCACCTTGATGTGTTCACTAACCTGGAAGCTCTCCAAACCCTGTAGTTTAGGGGTTTTTATGGAGGTTTCACTATGTAGGCATGATTGATAAACCATTGGCCATTGGTGATTAACTCAATCTCCAGCCCCTCTACCCTCCCCAGAGGTTGGAGGGTGGGGCTGGAAGTTCCAAGTTTCTGATCAAGGCTTGGTCTTTCTGGTGAGCAGCCCCCATCCTGAAGCTCTCTAGCGGCTGTGAAGAGTCACCTCATTAGAACAAAAGGCACTCGCATCACCCTTTCACTTAGGAAATTACAAGAGATATAGGAGTGCTGTGTCAGGAACCGGGGACAAAGACCAAATATCTTTCTATGATATCACAGGTCACCCACCCCTTGGTCTTTGACCATGGCTCTCTTACAGCAAAAGGATTATAATAGTTAAGAGATAACTGGCACATTTCTAGATTCTGATGTAGTCAATAATTAGTCCGTCGTATTGTATGAAAATGTCTCCCAGGGCGAGTCCACTCTGGTTTGCAGGCTTCC